GTGAAGGTCGGCGAGCTTCCCGTCATTGGTGTCAGCGCCCTCTTAGATCGGTCTAGGGTTTTGTTGGTGGGGTTTGCGGCTCACGGCGAACCTCGTGCTTTGAGCCGCCGGCCCCCACCTCTTTATATAGCGCAGTGCAACGGGGGCCCACCAACCATGTAGGGTTGGGCGCCCCCAATCAGAGCGCGTGACCAAGGCCCAATAGGCCGTTGGGCTTATTGGTTAGGAGATCAATCTAACATAGGCTAATCTACCGCAAGCGGTGGAACAAGCTGGCCGGGATACGGCAGAAGCAGGAGGAGCTGTACCTCCCGCTCATCGACGGCTGCCGCAGACATCGCCGGGACTCTGACGAGACGCTGAGTTATGTACACACGCTCCTGGACCTCCATGTCCCGGTAGAACTAGAAGCAGACGACCACAACAGCGGAGGCAAGCAAAGGCAGCAGCGGAGGCTCGAGGATGGTTAACTCGTGGGACTCTGTTCGGAGTTTCTTGGTGAAGTAACCGAATCCATAGCCGCGGCGCTGCAGTGGATCATGGCGAACCTAATCAAGCACCCAGACATACAGCAGGCCATCCGGGAGGAGATCAACGCTGCTGTGGACGCCGACGCCGAGGAGGTCGGGGAGGAGGTTCTTGGGAAGCTAGACCACCTCAACGCTGTCATCTTGGAGACACTGAGGCTGCATCCCACCATCATGTGGGTATTTAGGCAGGTAATTAAGCCAAGTAGCCGTAATAAGTACCCAATAATTTCATTATATATATATATATATATATATATATATATATATATATATATATATATATATATATATATAGGACGAGGCTAAAATGCACCTGGGTGCATTCTGAATAGCAAATGCACCCGACCGCGAGCGCGAGCCACGAGACGCGCGGAGCACGGCGAGCACGAGCCATACCGGCGCGGAGTCCGACCCGATTGACCAGCACTTTGTATCTCCCGAGACCTCGCCCAGCTGTCTGAGGCCCCGGCGCCGCCCTCACCGCAACTCATCCCTTCAACTGATTGCAACTTTCGTCGTACACAAATTGCAACCTTGGTGGTAGGCCAGTTGCATTCCGGTTGGGTAGGCCAGTTGCAACTGCCCTGGACGGCTGGTTGCAGCTCCGTTTGTATACCAGTTCCAACTCAGCCCGTCAGCCGATTGCATCTTCAGTCGTACACAAATTGCAACTCATCCCTTTAACCGATTGCAACTTCCATCGTACACAAATTGCAACCTTGGTGTTAGGCCAGTTGCATTCCGGTTAGGTAGGCGATTGCAAGCGCCCTAGACGGTTTGATTGCGATTCCGTTTGTATACCAGTTCCAACTCAGCCCGGTCAAATTGTGTATCTTGATGCGTACACAAAATTGCAACACATCCATTCAACCGATTGCAACTTTCGTCATACACAAATTGCAACTCGTTTGCACGCTCGCTGTGTGCCTGCCTCGCTGCCTGGTGGGGCGGTGTTGGCGTGGGAGAGGGTAGAGGTGTGTGGCGCGCCTGATTAATGGGTTAGTTGGGCCGGTTGTCCAGACAAGACGCGTCGGTTGGCCTGGGTGCATTCTGTACACAGATTGCATCCAGGTGCAATATAGCAAAACAGTATATATATATATATATATATATATATATATATATATATACAATATAGCAAAATAGTATATATATATATATATATATATACACTATCGAACCAATCTCATGAATACGAAAAAAAAAGGTGATGGAAGAAGACCAAGCGGTTCATGATGGCCAACGTATTCCCACGGGTACCGACATAATGTTCTTATTAGAAGCGCTGGGACGAGATAAGGCAGTGTGGGATGACCCTCATGAGTTCAAGCCAGAACGTTTCCATGGATGTGGAGGTGGAGAAAGCACCACCAAGAACCTGCTGTCCATGGCCGCGGAGATGAAGATGATGCCTTTTGGGGTCGGCAAGAGGATGTGCCCTGCTATAAGCGTCTCGCTGCTCCACATCAGCTATTTCGTGGCAAACCTTGTGAGGGAGTTTGGGAGGAAGTGGAGGGTGAGCATGCCGTGCAATTGCAGACGGACACCAGCATCTTCTTTTTCAACCGCATGGAGCGTCCACTACGTGCTCACCTTGTGCCTCGCCGGCCGGAGGCCAAAAAGATTTGTCATTAATTGGACACGTGTCCTGGTCCATTTGGAACACGTACAGACGATTGATATATGATCATAGTGATGCTTCACTGCACGTGTTCATATGTGGACCTTTGATATTTCTCTAGTATCTCGATGGTTATAGGACTACGGACTACTAAGTGTGTTGTAATAAAGATTTGTGTTTCCATATTATTACATACGGATGTGTGCTTTCTATTTAAACCACCACCTGTTGTCTTGTCTGCTTTGCTTAGTCTCAGAGTAAGTTTAATAAGTTTGGCTATAAGTCAAGCCAAGCCAATAACACATTAGCAGAAAAATCATATAACAACAACGTAGTCTCCTCTTAGAGCAAGGACAATGATTTAGCCGGCTGAAGGCTGTAAGCAGAGGCCATGTCACTTACAGCGGGCTATTCAGCCTGCTAGTATAATAAGAGGCTGTTTAACTAGCTGCAGTGAAGATTTAATGTTGCCATGTGCATTCAATCTGATGTGGCCTACATCTTTGTGGCCATACATGCATGCTCAATTCATCATGTAGAAACCATATATGTTTATCCATGTCATTACCAAACAATATATTCTGACAACAACATATTCTGAGATGAACCAAAAGTAGGTACTTAAATAAAAGAAATAATACCAGATAAATGACAAATTTTAAGCAACAATTCACTAACGATACGGTGGCATAGCACCATGACACGTCACTTAAAATAACATAGTCTAGATTATAGAAAAGCAACAACTTCAACCAATACTAAAGTTCGCTGGCACACATGCCATTATTTATTCATGAAGACAGAGTTGATAGTTGGCCTTCGGTAGGGAGGAGCAGTCAACCCATTTGCATCAAAAGACATGACACTGCAAACATATAATAGTGCAAAAATTAGAACAAATGGCCCCGGAAATTAGATATAGAAGTTTCTATTTGAAAAAGTTAGATACCGCAAGTAGCATCTGCAGACATTCAAAGAAGCCATGCCCATCCACGATTCTGAAAAGATACACGTAAGACATCATGTTAGTTCTCACGGTGAAGGGAAAAATAACAGAAACATGCAGATTTTAGAATTCTACCATGACTAGTTATGATGGCTATTTCCAAACCTACGCCAAATGTGCTCGATCGATCATCTTTAAGCCGGGTATATCTGTGTGATTACGATTACGGATAGCATCTTTTCTACACATCACATCAACAAAGCGTGAGATTACTACTAGTGTTCACTTCAGGAGGTAGAGCAAGCGATGCACTTGGATTCTCATTCAAGTCAATATGAATCTTAGCATTCTCTCGTTTCATCTTCCACTATCATATTGTGGAGGATCACACAAACTAGCATGATCCTTCCAACACTCTTTCTCTTCCATAGACGTGCGGGCCTACGAACAATGGAAAACGGGACTGCAGTACCCCAAAAAGCACGCTCCACATCTTTCCTTGCCCTTCTTGATGCTCAAAGAAATAACTTATGCTTCTCTTTTGTGGAAGTGTTATACTCTTCATGAAGGCTGCCCATTCTGGTATATACCATCGACAAAGGTAATAACCATTGCTATATTCATTACCATTGATTGAAAACCCGAACTTGAGGGCCTCTCCTTTTAAGGCATCAAAAAAAGTGGGGACTGGTTGAGCACATTTAGGTCATTATTTGATCCAACAACTCCAAAGAAAGCATGCCAAATATGAAGGTCCTGGGAAGCAACAACTTCTAGCACTATAGTTGGAACTCCATAATCGCCACGGGTGAATTGCCCCCTCCATGCTAAAGGACACTTCTCCCAACGCCAGTGCATGCAATCTATGCTACCTAGCATTCCAGGGAAACCACGAGACTCGTTAACTTGTAGTATACGCTCAACATCCTCACATGTGGGGCGTCGCATGTACTCGCCACCAAACACCTCAATCACCCCTCATGCAAACTTGTCCAAGCACACTAATGCAGTGGACTTCCCAATCTTTAAGTACTCATCAAGAACATCTGCGGGACTGCCATAAGCCAGCATGCGCATGGCTGTTGTACACTTCTGCAGTGGTGATAGCCCTATTCGACCAGCACAATCTGCCCTATAAGTAAAATAGGGAGACCACTGACCAAGGGCATCCACAATGCGTAGGAAGAGACGCCTATTCATACGGAATCTAGTACGGAACATACTCTCGGGGGTAGAGTGGTTCTGTAGCAAAGTAGTCCTCTACAAGACAGCTCGTGAGCACCACCATGATCCCTCCGGATGCTCTTTCTAGAACCATATTGGCATTGAGGTACTCCAGCCGAGAAGGCAGCCTTGAACTTCATTGCGAGCTTCCTAGCAAAGGAGTCTAGGATGCTCTGCTCAGCAATATGCTCTTCAATGATTTTGGTAAGGGCTAGCTCATCGGAATCATCTGAGTATGAGGATGAATCCGACATGGTTTTGACTTAGCAGGAAGATGAGAGTGTTCTGATGAGTTGTAGAAGTGAGATGGGTTTGGGAGGATTATATAGATGAGCTTCCTAGATGAGAGTGTTCGGCACTGCATTGCAATTAGGTGCAATTTAATTGTAGTTGTGGACTATTGACTGCATTGTAATTAGCTGCAATTTAATTGTAGTTGTGGACTATTGACTGCATTGTAATTAGCTACAATTTAATTGTAGTTGTAGACTATTGACCGCATTGTAATTAGGTCCTAATTTTCAAAGACCTGGACTAAAGACAGGCCAAAACATTTTCATTACCTTAGTCATTTTTGTTAAATAGCTTCTCCTCAAACACTTCATTGCCAACACATGCTCGGATCTCACATCTTCAGCATACTTGTTGTCTCTTTCATCAATAGCGCTTCGATATGTTTCTAGCATGATCGACTCCTTGTGCTCTTTTTTTTAAGGTGCGCAAGCTTCCGAGCTTCAAGATTCTCACTAGACACACGCCTTTGCGTCTCTAACATCTCTTTGCGCCCTTCATTTGTTGTTTTCTGAGCATCCAAAAAGCTGTTAAGCTCATCTTCAAGATCTATTATACACGGCTGGCCCTTTTTCTTCTTCTTGCGCTGCTCCTTAGCTTGCTTGCCTCCTATTGGCCGCTCATCAGCATCATCATCTAGAGAGAAACATTTCCCCACATCATCCTCTTCACAGAACTTTCTTTTGTCCGGCTCGAGGTCTTCTAGGCGTTCCAAATAGGCTTCCCATTTTGGTTCCTTTCGAAGAACCTCCCAGCAATGCTTAAACGTAAATGGGCCATCTTTTTTGTTCTCTTCTTCATAAGATTTCATTGCCTTAGCCTCAATATCTGCATCTGATTCACCACTAGCCCATAGAGCGTTGGCCTCTTTCCAGCTACCACAAAATCATTGAACCCTTTTCTTAATTCTTAGAAAGTGATCTTTAATTTGCTTGACTTGCCTTGCTCGGTCTTTTGGGGTGGTGCTTGTTGTAGATATCAACAATAACACTTTCCAATATTGATCATTTTCCTGTAGTTGGATTTGGATAGGATCATTTGAACTTTTTAACCAAGCACTAACCTACAACATTAACAAAAGATGATTACCAGCATGTTTTTAGTGCAACTCATGGATGAAACTAACAGAAAAAATAACATACCAATCTCAGATCCTCCTTTTTTGTCCATAGCATGCGTTTTTCAGTCCTACCACACTTGCCATCATCTTCATCATCAGCAAGATTGATTGCTTGCAATTTACTCCCATTGCTCACTAAGCCTCTAGGGCTTGCTGTGCTATTCATAAAACTCATGAAACCACTAGGAGGGTAAAGATTTGGTCCCCTATAAAAAATGCATTAAATCAAAATAGTCTTTTAGGCACTCACGTCACCATTGACTTATCAGTTTTCACAACTACAGTGAACATATTACTTAACTTAATACATACTACTAGTTCTGCCAAAAAAATCTAGTACAAAAAAATACCAATACATACAAGATGACTATAGTACATAGCATATGAGCTCAAACCAGTAAATTTATAAACAAAGGATGGTGCATTAGGCATAGCAATGGCAAGAGATTAAATGTAATCGAGAAAGATTCATGAGTAATGGAGGATACATACCATGCACGCACTTCAGATTCATCATCGTTCTTAGCCACAAAGCTAAGAAGATATGGAGGGAGGCAAAGATCCACGACGAGCCTTGAGGCATGGAACCCGCCAAGCCTAATTGTTTGATGTCCGCATGCCACCATGGTGCGAGGGGCGTTGAGGATCTGCGTGGGTGGTGTTGGAAACCAGTCTTACCGAGTCCATGCGGCGGGATGGGAAGAGGTCTGCTGCATGGTGGAATCTCCATAGGCGCCGGTGCAAACGTCCTCTTCGATTTGCCACCCATCTTGCAATGGCTCCGGCGGCGGGTTGCTGGTTAGGGTTTGGGAAGCGAGAGTTTTGCGATGATTTGGGGCTTTTGTCCTTCAATTTGGCGCGCAAGGCATTGATTCGAGAGGAGAGGAAACGATTTTGGCGCGAATCTGGTGGAGTTGCGGCGGGATTTAGCGCGCGGGCGAGCAGGGAAGGGCGCAGACGAGTGGAAGGTCGGGGGTGCCACACGAGATCGAGAAGGGAAGGAGGTGGGGAGCGAAGCGTCGACCAAAGCGCCCGCACCCGGCTGCGAACGGACGGTGTGGTGGGATTCAGCCGGGCGAAGAGATAAGCGCCGATCCATTCTCTCTCTCCTATTATCTCTCCGCCAAACCATCTGTTTTCCTGATGTGTCTTCTATTTAGCCGGCTGACTCAGCCTTATAATACTTGCTCTTAGGGCGTCCCAAGCAGCAATAGTAGGAAGCTGACGATTTAGCGCCGCATCACCCTATGGCTATGGGTCACGAGTAAATTCTATTTTATTATATATTTCTCTTCTCCCCAAGTGCAGTATGGCCTATGGTCGTATGTCGTCGTGAGAGAAAGCATCATTGGCTCGGTCTACGTGCGAGACTACCGACGACGGAGTAGCTAGCTGATTTCTTTTCGTACTCTCAGCTGGCCACCTCGCGGGCCATTGGAGATGCCCTTATGTTTCAAATATATTTCATTGTGTGTGGGACCCACCCACTGGTCTTTTCCATTCCTTTTATCTCCTCCCCACATGGCTATGAGTGAATGGGTTATTCATTCTGTGTTAGACTATGTTTAGACCGTGACCTCTAGAACCGCTATCTCAAAATAGACTATCACTGTCAAGTTTAATCACCCTTTTCGGGAGGCTGTAAACGATCGTGGATTATTTACTGCTGGCTGGTTTGGTGTGAGAGAAAAATACTGTTCTGATTAGAAATTTACGATCGTTTACGAGCAAGTGAACAGACTGAATAAGTCCCTATCACCGCCGGAAAACTGAACAGAAAGAGAGAAAGTGCCCACATGATCTAAATAAAGTATAATTACGAGCCAAACTAGAATGCATTACATGATTATTGAATAAACCTTTGACATGCAAGTTGTCCACGTGACTGTGAAACGGTTGTATTTATTGTTGCAACACATGTTTGCAAAATACTCTCTCGGTCCCTCTGCCCTCAAAAGAATACAATTCTAGCACACTAATAGGGTTATTTGGATTGGTGCTATTACAATGTTCATGTATCGAGAAAACAACATTACAATTCGCCTATTTGGAGACGAACCATTATAATTCTTCCACTATCTAAAATATGCTATTACGTGCGCTCTTCAGACATGGTTGGACCCATTTGCAGACTATTATATTTTCATTTTGCCCATAATGCCCTGTACCACCACTCTCTCCGTATCACTGACGTGTGGGCCTAGAGGTCATCCCCTTTCTCCTCTTTTCCCATCACGCACGCGCGCACTGGTACGAGAGGCTCGCCCACATGCCTGTGAGGTCACAGTGGTGGCCTGCCCGCAGGCCTACGCCTCCTCGGTAGCATTGACATGTGGGGCTCACGTGTTAGTGATATGGAGGGTAAAGGAGCATTCTAGGTAACACGAAAATAGGTTGTCCTGTAAATAGGCTCAACCGTTCGAAGCTTAGGTAATAATAAAACGTATTTTATACTATATAGCAAAAGAATTATAGTAGCCCATTTCTTCGATCGGCAAAAAATATAATGACACGGATCCTAATAATTTTTTTTCAGAATTTTCTTCCCGTTTTATCCCAGTGCGCTTGACTTGTTGGGCCAGGGCCTTTATCCGGTCGTCTCTATCTCCTTTAGGCCTCGTTCATTTGACTGGTTTTGAAGCTGAGAACTATTTTAACTAATCTATACTAATACAAATAAGCCTATCAATCCAGCTGAACAATTTGGGCATCCATTCCAGATTAAACGAACGGGGCCTTAGCCACTCCTACCGGCCCGCAGCTGTTTGCGAGGCAAGCGTGCTATGCTCCTGCGCGCGCGACGGCGCGAAGGCAGGCAGCGGCTCCGTGTTCCGCCCGTGCGAGGGGAGGGGAACGAGAGCTCCGGCGGCCCCCGCGGTGAGCTCCATCGCCCCCACCCCATGTCTGTGCCTCTCGTTGGGTTGCCTCGTATCCCTATCCCAACATCTTCTTCCCTCCCATTCCCATGGAGCTCCTCCCGGCTCCCTTCCCCTCTTCCCTCCCTAGACCCCACCAATTACCTCCCCAGTTGCCTCTTTCCAGACCCTGCCATGGCCGCCTCCAAGAGCCCATCATGGCTGCGTTCGCCCAGGCTCCTCCCCTCGCGCTCCCCTTCCAAGAAGCAACAAGAAGCAGCAGCTCCCAGCCCCCACGCCCCCGTCCCCGTCCCCTCGCCCAGGAACCAACAACTCACCCGCCGCCGCCTCGCCCTTTCCATTCCTCTGCCAGCAGTGAGCCCCTGATTGTTTCCGAGACGAAGCTCATCACAATGCACTCCCGCGCCGGGCGCCTCTGGGACGCTCGCAAGGTGTTCGAAGGAATGGCGTTCAGGGACCTGCTCGCCTGGTCAGCCATGATCGGCGCATATGCCATCAGGGGCCTGTACAAGGAGGTCGTCGCGCTCGCAGTGACCATGGTCAGGGAAGGGGTCATCCCGGATAGGTTCCTGATCACCCGGATTCTGCAGGCGTGCGCGTACACAGAGGACCTGGAGCTCGGGGTGGCGTTGCATTCATTGGCGATCCGGAGAGGTTTCATGGCGGAGACAGCGAGGGACGTGCCGGTCGGGAACTCGGTGCTGGCGATGTACGTCAAGTGTGGAGAACTGGGCCGTGCGCCTGTGGTGTTTGAGAAGATGGGGGCAGCGGGACCTGGGCACATGGAACTCAATGAGTGGGAGGAGGCGCGGAGGCTGCTCGATGATATGAGGCGCGAAGGTATGGAGCCCGGGGTCGTCACATGGAACACGCTGATTTCGAGCTATGCAAGGTCTGGGGAACTTGATGTGGCCATGGAGATGCTGGAACAGATGGAGGAGTCTGGTGTTGCTCCGGATGTTGTCACCTGGACTAGCCTTGTGTCTGGTTTTGTCCACAGTGATAGGGGTGGCGAGGCGCTTCGGTGTTTCATGCGCATGCGTCTTGCTGGAGTCGAACCAAATGGCATGACAATTGCGAGTGCCATCTCAGCTTGTGCTAGTTTGAGGCTACTGAGTTAGGGCATGGAGCTCCATTGTCACGCGATTAAGGTTGGGAGTGTGAACAATGTGCTCTCAGGGAACTCCTTGGTTGACATGTATGCAAAATGTGGAGAAGTTGTTGCGGCTAAGAGAATATTTAATGAGATACCCGAGAAGGATATCTTCTCCTGGAACTCAATGGTTGCAGGGTATGCACAAGCGGGATATTGCGGCAAAGCATATGAGCTTTTCTGTAAGATGGAGAGCCTTGGTGTCCGGCGCAATGTGATAACATGGAATATAATGATCTCGGGATACATATGAAATGGGGATGATGAGAGAGCTTTTGAGCTATTTCAGATGATGGAAAGCTACGGAGTAAAAAGGGACACTGCTTCATGGAACGCACTCATTGCTGGTTCGGTGCATAATGTCCATTCTGATAGAGCCCTGAGAATATTTCGGCAGATGCAATCACTCTTGGTGAGACCAGATTACATCACAATATTAAGTATCATTCCAGCATTTGCAAACCTAGTTGCATTTTCCAAAGTACGGGAGATCCACGCCTGCATATTTCACAACAATTTAGAAATGGATGGCAAAATAGCAAATGCACTCATCAATGCCTATTCAAAATCTGGCGATCTTGCTGGTGCTTGTGCTGTTTTTGATAGGCACTCATCAAGGAACATTATTTCTTGGAATTGTATAATTCTCGCACACTTGCTGCATGATTCTCCAAGTGAAGCACTGGATCGCTTTTGTGAGATGAAACAAGAAGGCGTGCGGCCAGATCATACAACTTTGACTGCCGTAATCAAGGCCTATGGCCTCCAGGGAAAGGTATCTGAGGCGAAACAAATATTTTACAATATGACCCACGATTACAACATTACTCCAGATTTAGATCATTACGCAGCTATAGTTGATCTCCTTGGCCGCTCAGGGAGTCTACAAGAAGCATATGAGTTTATTGATAATATGCCACTCATACCCAATTTAGCAGTCTGGGAGGCATTGCTTACTGCTGCAACTATTCATGGAAATGCAAGGCTAGCAAACATGGCAGCACGAGAGCTGTCATCACTTGATCCCAGTGACCCTAGAATCCAAAGACTGGTTTTTAATTACTGGGATCTAACTGGAAAGTCTGTTGATGTGCCACTCATGACAGTATACAACAAAGGAAGAGAGTTGGAAGGTGTTGATAGTTGTTCTGTTGAAACCAAGAACAAGGTCTATTTGTTCTCAACCGGTGATAATTTAGCATTAGAGAGTACAGTAGCTGAATTGAAGTTGATTATGATTCAGATCAGAATGTCATTGCTGAACATCTGTAATGGGACTGACGCTGAAGAAGAGAAAGAAGAATTATCTGGAATACATTGTGAGAAGCTAGCAATTGCTTTTGCAATTTCAAACTCCCCTCCTTTCAGAAGCATACGGATAATAAAGACCTTAAGGATGTGTAGCCGTTGTCACATCTTTGCCAAGCTAGTTTCAGAAAAATACGAGCGGCAGATACTGATCAAGGATTCAAATTGTTTGCACAAGTTTAAGGATGGAAAGTGCTCTTGTGAAGATTATTGGTGAATACAATTAATATAAGTAAACCAATTGTTCGGTTCATTTATGCGTCGTCCGGACTGGTTTTTTCATGTATGAGTGTAGTGTCATTCAGTCCATGGTTGTATTGGTACGGAAAATTACTTTAGCTGGTTTTGCTCATAAGAAAAGCCTAATGTTGTCTTATTGCTACTTTTTAGTTGGAAGTAGTAGATATTTTTATCTTATTTGGCTGGGGCTTACTATAATTTAGTTAACTTCTCTCAAGCTTGAATTTATTGGTGTTCAAATGCTACCTGCTATGGACAGAGGCAGAGCTCCCCTATGGTTTATGACAATTCTAATAAAGGGAGTGGCAAGGTTCAGCGGTTTATGGAATCTAGATCAACCATTAGACAAGTATGTTGCAATGACACTGTAAATTGTTTTTTTGCAGCTTGTGTCATGTTAAATTTTCTAATGTTCTCTTGGTGTTTAGGGTGTTCTTGCACAGAGAAGGTCAAATCTTGGTGGAAATCAGTTCCCTGCTACAAAGCAGGCTGCGAAGAAGGCTGCTGCTATGCCAATGCGCAATGGGGCTGTCTGATGGAACAAGCCAAGGTATCAATCAATCAATTTTTTCCTCGTTCCTTTTTAGCCATGTTTTAATCTCAATAAATTGTTATTGTTATGGACAGGTAAACAATGATTATCTTATTGCTTATGAGAAAGTTTACTGCATTCAAGGGGCTGTTAAATTTATTGAGTCGTACACCTTGGGTTATATTGGCTGAGAATGATTGTGATGCTGGTGTTTGCATTGTAAGTTTATAAAGAACAATCAACTTTATATTCTTGTGGCACAAGGCCTGTTTTCTTGGTTGAACTGCTACAAATATACGGTGAATAGAACTTATGAGCCTTAAAGCTTCATTAAAATTTATGGCAGTTGCCTTTATTCTGGTTGAGCTGGTCAAATTTTCGAACTTGCTGGAGCACCCTGAATATGGGGGAGCTGCTATTCGACTCCTCACTTTTTTATTTAGTCAAAGGTAATCCCTTTACCAGAAAACTTTTTAGATGGTGATGTCGAGTTTGCCTGAGATTGACCTAATATAGCATATTTTCCTGAATTTTTGGTGCATGGACTCAGGCAGCCGGTTAAGTCACATTCAATGATGATTGACAGGAAGATTATTGAAGCCCTCAAGGACATGTCCCTGAAGGTGAGAAAGCTCGCTCATCCTGAATGGTGCTGCCTTTTACCTCTTGCTACCTTTTCTTGTTGTGGATTCAAATTGCCATTGATCTCTTGTTTCGAGATAAAATAAAGTTGGGCAAAAACAACATCTGTTAAATATATAGGCTTTAGTGGAATAATTCTGGTAACACAGAGCATGTTATGATGAGATAAGAATGATACTTTTAGGTGAAATAGAGCAGATGCAGAGGGATAGAAACAAGTTTGCTCCTTTCTAATGATTGGTCAGTTGTGCTAAACTGTATCATGGGAAGGACTCTGTATCTGTATGCATTGCCTGCATACAGATACATGAAGCAAGATTATGCTTGCATTTGTTTTCATCATTGGCTGTCACATAAATTAGTAAAGACTTTTCTAATTTTTGGCCAGAGACTTGTTTCCTGGCTAGAATGAATTGTGTTATATTTTATCAGCCTGCTTGTCCTCAGAATCAAAATAGATGTCTTGTTTGGAGCTTTTATTAGGCAAAGTTTCATACTCTTTTTTTAATCTGAAAATTTCGCTGTCTGAATTGTTCAGGTTTCGTGTTAGAGATAATTTCTAATTTTCTTGATTTTGCGACTGGACCATCTTAGGATCGTATTGCAACCAGTATTTCCTGTGCATGCTAGCATCAATTGGCAAGGGACATTATGCTGCTGCTGCACTTGAGACAGGTACCTGTAATTCTTGTCTTTGCATTATGGTATAGCTTCATGTACCTTTCCCATTATCATTTATGTATGCTTTTGTTGATATGAACATGACCTCAAGATTCCATTGCTTGTAGATGTATTCAAACATATGCCAATCTTTTACCCGCTTCTTTATAGTTCCTGTTATGGCAACGTCACATCTGAATGTTTGCAAGGCTTGTGCTGTTGAGAAGATGGTCACTCAGTCAGTCTGAGTGCATATCGAACTCTTGACCTCCGTCTTTCTGAATAAATAGTATTATGATTTTAAAAACTAATTTGCTTGGATTATTCTTCTTGTGTCTGTGTTCACACTATTACTCTGTCAACCTGAATTTGAAGTAATTTTCATAGAAAGCAATCTCCTTGGTTCTGTAAAAGCACATCATGGTCTAGTGGAACTTTAGATAGATTTTTGGAGCCTTTTCTTTTAAAGCCGCCACTAGAGCTGGCATTTAGAAAAGAATAATTGTAAGCCCCAATGACTGGATCATTTTGAATAGCCAACATTGGATGCATATAGTAATGGGAGTGACATAGATCTCTTCACATTTTTCTGATATATTCCTTGCCGATTAGAGACGATGTCAGAAACTTAGAACTGTTAGTGTTTGCATCATCATTTAAAGAAAGACTAAGAGTTGGTTTTCACTATGAAGGATTTACTCCTTGCCATTTGTTTAACTCTTATTGTCACCCAAGTGAGTCCTGACGTGGTAATATTTCTAATCTAATACCTGAAAGATCTGAACTTGAGGTTATTAATCACATCCTGGAATTATTTGGCCATGCCTCAGGACTCAGAACTAACATGAAGTCATGAACAAAAGTTTGGTCTTGCCCATCCAATGCGGAGATGTTGAGCTGAGAACTATTTCAGAAACACTCCCTTGTGAGCTGAAGGACTTTCCATGTACTTACCTCGGCTTACCTTTAACTCTCCGTAAACCCACCGAGTCTGACCTCTTACCTCTTATTGACAAGGTGGCTGATAATCTTCCTGATTGGAAAGCATCTCTTATGAATAAGGCCGGTCGTTTGATTGCAGTACGGGTGTTGTTCACTGCTATCCCGATGGTTGCCATGGATTTACCAAAATGGGTGTTAAAAGCCATTGATAAGAAAAGACGCGGCTTCTTGTGGAAGGGCCAGGACAAGGCTAATGGGGGTAACTGTAGTCTCATGGGAAAAGGTTCAACGCCCTATTCAGTTTGGGGGGCTAGGCATTCATAACCTTGAAACTTTGGCCTGGTCACTCCGTATCAGATTGCTGTGGGCACAGAAGAGTACTGACGAGGAACGTCTTTGGGCAAGTTTACCAGTGCAAGTCCCATGTATTGCCCAAACGTTCTTTGGTGTTGCTGTACAAACCGCAGTTGGTAATGGAACTTCAACTAAATTCTGGCTGGACTGCTGGCTTTTTGGTAAAACAATTGCAGAGCATGCTCCCAACCTGATCACGGTCATTCCCAAAGAGAGCCTTGAAACAATGTACGGTGGCACAAGCTTTACAGAACAGAAGTTGGGTGGCTGATATCAAGGGGGCCTTGACAATTGAAGTCTTGTTGGAATACTTGCAACTCTGGGACATGATTGACAATTTTTGCTCTTCAACAGGACACTCCGGATCAGCACCAATGGAGACTTACAAATCCATCCACCATAGAAGAGCTTATAGTAATCATATCCAAGGCTAGGATTGTACTTGGAGCATTCGAAGAGAGAAGAATTGTGCTTAGAGCAATTTCCTACACCATTTCTGTTGAGCAATTTCAGCCTCATTGTCATTTGTGTAGCTAACTAGTTTTTTATGATCTTCATTCTACTTCCACTTCCACCTCAAAGATTTCAAATATAGTTACCGTCGTTTTGACCCCTTTCTTACTTCTTTTTACCAAATTTGTTATTGGCAGTTTATTACTTTGGGATATAACAAGGTGATTCTGAATGCAATTGCAAGAGGTGACTGAATCGGCTAGATGCTAAGCTGTTTGCTGTGCGTGCCCTCTCTTTTTGTGACCTGCAATCCAAATTGTTCTACGGACACCTTGGTTTCCTTTTTTATTCCAATCAGCACATGGCCGCTGCACATCCCGCCTCTTGGGCATGTGGGGGGTTTTGAGTTTAAAGAGATCTTACTGACATGTCTTGGATATCGCGCATCCGACGAAGCTCCTCTGGTTTGCGTATCGCACTCACTGCTGAAGGCACAAGGGTGAAGTGTGTGCTGACACGCTGTTAGGCGATGGCCTACTTGAAAGTCGGCCAGGTTGATTTTGGCCTGCCTCTACCGAGCTTTTCTATCTTTTTGCGAGTGTGATCAATCTAAACGTCAACTGACAGGAAGAGCATGGCCAAGCTTTCAGTTGGAGGACAAAGAAGCAGTAACCCTTAAAATGCATGCCTTATCCGAAGCAATTTCTTGCCGGCTTCGTGCACAGGTGATGCGAGTAGATTCTTTCTTGTGATTATCAGTCTTTGATTCGTTGGAACATACCGTGCAGGTGCATTATTCTTGTGTGCACGTCTTGATGCAAGTTGTATGATTGTTGGTTGTTACAAAAGCAGGCCTAGAGTTATCCCAGTAGGATTATTAACAGTCCAATCCAGTCCATTTGTCACACACGCTTGTGAACAAGGACGGACGAGTGACATGATTAGCATGTGATGTACTAGGACAGGTCCATTCATGACCCTTCTGCAAAAAAAATAGTTTAGAGTAAGGCTAATAATATAGCTCACTGTTGGCTGTATGTATAGCCGATGTTGTCATCAAGATGCCTATTCGCTTAAACTTATTAGTCAGCTTATCAGCCATGGTATAGTGTTTTTCTCTCACAACAAATTAATCATATAAATCAGCACAAGCGGCGAACAAGCTAGTAGTAAGTTTCAAGTATCATTTGGACGTGATGAGCATGGTCAAAACTGCAGTTATAAGCACAGAATCAAACACATCACAATGGGACACGGTGATTGATGTGAAAATTAACGAGACATGAATATATTCGCGTGTTTGGTGCACGCCAGCCATGTACAAACAACAGATAGTACAAATAACATGACCTGAGTCCACACACACACGGACACAGTTAGTAAGACTAAACCGGTGGTCGCTGCGTCCATCTGGCAGGGAGCTTGGGCTTGGGCAAAGGCCTCCTGGTGAGCACTGCCAACGCCTCAGCAGACGGTGCGTACCTGTCGTACAACGTGGCCTGCCCCATGAGGAGCCAGACGGCGTTCATGAACTCTCCTCCGGTGCTGAGCTTGGTGGCGTGGGACTCCTCGCCGCAGTGGTAGGCTGCGTAGCACAGCAGCTCCACCCATACACCGGCTATCACCTGCAGCATGTCGACGGTGGGCAAGCACCACCTGTTGCCGAGCAGCATCCCGGCGAGCCAAGATCCGTCTTCATAGGCTGGCCTGTCGTCGACGCCGTCGGCACGTTCTCGCCGATGCCGAAAAGGTACTTACCGCGTGAATCGGCCGGGAGCTGCCACTCACCTATTTTCTTGACGATGGCCGACCTAGAGGAGCTCATGGTCTCTTCCTTGGTGGACTTCATGACACGCCACCACAGCATACTGAAATACATGTAGTTCTCCTTGTTTCGGACGCTGTGAACGACCCCGGCAGCAGGTAGGGATGCACCTCCAACAGGAACATCATATGGTTGGAGAGCACCCTGATGTCGCCCCGGACCGTGCCTTCGGTGGCGGCGTCCTCCTCCACGGGCTCGGGGCACATGGAGAGGTAAAAATCGGTGGCGATGTGCCACACGATGATGCTGCGGTCCAGCTCTGTCTCGTCAGCGATCCGGATGAGATCCTCGTACATGCCTCTCTCCTTGAGTACCCACTTGCCCGTGCATTCCTCAGGTCCTCCATGCTCTTCTTCCGTATCTCTCCCAGCACCAAGCCCTTGATGCCGTCGGAGACAGGTACGGTGGTCGAGTAATGCAGCTTCCGCCACCTGTCCCCAAGACCGATCATCTTGGCGATCTTGCCTCTGAGGTCATCATGGTTCACATCAGTGCAGACATCCAGCAGGTTGTACTGCCCAAGTGAGTCTAGGCAGGTCCTCCTCCTTGCTCCTGCCTTGAGAAGCCGGCGAAGGCGCATTATCATGCTGCAGAGCCGGTGGCATCCCCTGGCATGGAAGGACGCGCATGCCCAGGATGAGCCCGCAGCTCTGAGCAATGACGCCATCTCCAACACCAGGGCTCCAACCAGCAAAACATAGGTGACGACGACATCAACTCTGATGTAGGCATCCTTGCTACTGAACTGAAACAGCAAGAATGCTGCGATGGCAGACAGTGGTGAGATGATCCGGATGCAGAGACCGTACCAGGTATGGATCACTGCTGCCTTCGTGTAGAGTATGTCATACAAGAGGGAGAGCTCCATCGCGACCAACTCATACAGGTACATGCCACCGTTCAGCTGGATGCCTTGGCGTACAACTTCATATTCAGACTTCTGCATCACTGCCTGATCAGCCAATATGCCCTTGCAGACATTGCGCATGTAGTGGGCTCCTAGCAGGACCTCCTCCGTGTCCAGTCTCTTCCCTCCCTCCCTCCCATGATAAGGGCCAGTGACTTGTGATGACGTTTCCTTGTTGCTGAGAGAGCTTGCAATACTATCTATGCCGCCACACTTGAGTGCCCATGTCCTGTCCCCGTATTTGAGGCAGCCAGAGAAGAACATCAGGGTAGCAGCTGCCACCAGGGTGCCAGGGTTCCTACCAACAGCGACGAACTGGTAGAGGACATAAGCCGCCCCAATCACTTGCACCACAAGAGTGAGCAGGTGGCGCAGCCAGAGCTGGTTGTCCTGGAAGGCGTAGGCCGTGATGGTGTCTGGGCCACCGAGGTGAAGCAGGAGGAAGGGAGCCCAGAATGGCATGATCTGGTGTCCGCCTGACCTGCTGCTGATGGACATATGGCCAAGGGCATAGATGGCGGTGTAGTCAGACATTAGGTATGCCAGCCAGAGGAGGATCCTTAACAAAGCCGAGCCTTGATGCCGGCGAATCCCTGCAGACAAGAGGAGGATGACTTGCAGGGTGAAGCTCAGGACCACCAGAATTTGGATGTCCCATTTTTCCCAAAACAAAGCTAGCCCTCCAGCCATTGCTCCCCTGCCTGGAATTGGACACAACATGTAAATTAGTCATTGTTTATTATCTCACTCTGACTGCAAATCAAATACTCCTACATAGAAAGCATTTATTTTTTTTTACTGATGAGCATTGCATTTGCAACCTCATCGGCTCACATATGGAGTGCAAAGGGTTTCCTCCTTGCATAGCTGCAAAAGAATAGTTTAATCTGCTTGGTTGATGCAATGATGGTACAAGTAGCATTAACAGAGGTATATGGAAATTTTGGTGGACTCAGGTACAAGAATGTGCCGCTAGAAATGTGGTCAGCATCTAAAAAGAAAACCCATCAGCAAATGAAAATGTCAAAAAAAAGAAAACAATGGTCGGAAAACTGAAAAAATGTCAGCAAAGGTCCAAAAACCAGCAGGAATGTGAAACCCTTCATGGAAAAACTGAATTGGGGGTATTGTTTACAGTAGTTATTTTTTCTGAAAATTTCCATCCTAGAAATACTTTCTTAACAATACTAGTAATTTCAGTTTAAAAATACCTTACATGTAGTGATGTAGAACTCTATGTAGTACATTAACTTTCAGTTTACAATTAATACCTTACATGTAGAACTCTATGTACTGCATAACTTTTTATGTACCATGCCTAGGGTTAGTACACTATCTTTCTATGTACCACTCTTTGAGAGTGAACTAAATATTATTTACTGATTTCTTCAATATAAAAACGTTTTAGTGCGAATTTTTTAATGTATTAATCAAGCATGATACTCCTATTTGACTTAAAATTTTGGATTAAAATACAGATTACAGAATCATAGCATCTCCAACTGGTCAGGTATAATGGGATCGGAACTTCCTATAACAATGGGGATTAAGGCTTGGTATGAAAAATAGCATATCCTAATCCCGTGTATTTTAAGTAGATTGAAACTAAAAATTCGCCTATTTTCAAGTAGAGTAAATTCTCGCGGTAGCAACTCTTGGCCACATTTCCATGGAAGAGGAGAGAGGGCTAGCTAGCACTAGCAGCTAGGAATGGAGGACTTGGAAGGAGACGTCGGGGATCACCTCGAGTTCTCGGGTGGCGGCGAAGTTGGGGACAGTGGCTGCTGCTGGATGGAGCAGCCACTGGCCTGGATTGGCGGCGGCCAGCGGCAAGGGCCTTCTCCTTTGCGGATCTGGCAAATCGTCCCGGCGGCGAGCAATGGGGGTGGCAGAGTGACCGGCGATTTCCCCAGCGAGGCGGCGAGCAATGGGGTGGCAGGGTTGCCGGCGATTTCCCCAGCGACGAGGACCAAGACTTGCTAGACAGAGGTCAACACACGGTCTTGTTGTGGGTGCACCGTGCACGTGCATCTATGGAATCTGGTGCTTTGATCACCAACGAGGAAAGGAATAATCCAAAACCTTAGCCGTGGCTCCTTAACCACTTTCAATTTTACATTTTTACATGAAAACAAAACTGAAATACGAACAACCGGTCATGAAAACTGAATCTGTATGTATGTCGGGATGATACAAAAAATTAAGAAATTCTACTGGAAACATCGCTTAAGGTCTCTCTGCTACAGTATATACTATCACACGCTTAAGGTCTCTTGGGAACACAGGAACCCCGCAAGGAAAAGGACTTGCTAAATTTAGTTTTCTTTCAGGCAATGGTTATTGCATATATTTTATACTAAAATTGCAGTTTAGTTCGTTGCAATTTATGTAGATATAATTTGTAATTTTTGGTTCTGAGAATAAAAAACCCGTTAGACAAAAACCACAAATCCAACAAAATATGTTTTGTGTTAGCACAAAGATAATTAACAATTTACCATTGTTTCTATAGTCAGACAAGGACACAAATTTGATATATTATGATACAAAGACAGATAACAAATCATAAAAGTAACAATTTACTTTTATCAGTTGGTTGTCTAAGAGTATTGCCTGAAATCATCTTAAAATTCAGGCACCTGAAATATAGGAGAAGTGCAAGAAAAAACTCATGAAACAATCTAGCAAGAAAAAAAATGTTTCCTTTGTTGGAGGGACACCCTATATCAAAATCTGAGAACTTAAAATAGGTTTCTAGATCGTAAACAATTTCAAATGAAAACATAGTTAACTACAAAGTTGTATATATTCTTAGAGTTCTACAACTTTAATATAAAGTTTGTCTCCATCTAACTTCAAGTAGAAAAGTTTTTATTTTGTTGCACCTAGTTTTACAGGCAGGTCAAATTATCACCTGATGCTGAAAATCAATTTCGACAAACGATTAGTGTTTCCAACCACCCTAGAAATGCCTCTGTTTATAGAGGCAGTCCGTAATACCAACCAACCTTGAAAATGGAGCACATTTTTAGGAGTAGCTGGAAACACCAACCGCCACTAAAAGTCAATTTCTAGAGACCAACCCTCTCTGAAACCATTTTTAGAGGCAATTTTTGATGGAGTCACTTCCGGGTAAAAAAGAGCGCATTTAAAAATCAATTTTGTAGCAGCGATGACAACCACTTTTCCTCCATTCCCATTATATTGTGTTTTCCCATTGATTTTTGGTTGACGATCTGCAAATATATGAATACAAATTAGGGTCAAGGTTAATTTTCGTCAAATGATTTACGAACACGCAGGAAATGCTTCTGTTATTTTTAGGAAGACATGGAACCCTGATCAGGCTCTCAATCTCTCCTCTAGAATCCTTGTTTTCAGCAATTAAAACTTAGAGAGTGGTCCTTTTTTTAAAAGAAAATTTAAAAGAAATCTGATCTTCCTCTAGGGAACCTGATCAGAATCATGGGTATTCAGGCAAGCATTGCGAGTGCCATACATGCTCATTATAAGCATTGTAGTAAATTTGTTTGTTGTGTTGGAGCAATTTCCTACGCCATTTCTGTTGAGCCATTTTAGGGCCTCTTTGATACAAGATCTAACTGTTAACTACCTAAAAATAGCTCTAGTGTATCCAAACATGATGATAATTTTTTAGCTAAGTCTTCAGCTAGTTATTAGCCAACTAGCTAGCTAACCACATGTAATATGAGGTAACTACCCATCACGGTTATTAAAAACTACTTAGTCTGCTCGCACGGGAGAAATCGAGGCTTTGGTGGCTCATTCGCGTGTTGACGTGTGGCACTGTCTACTTTTCAAAAAAGCCCTCCATCTTTTAGGAAACTAACCCGCTATCTAGGTTAGGACTATTATCATCAACATCTGTATATTTTCATATAAGTCACTAATGTAAATTTTATTCTAATGTGAAGAAGGAAAAATTCGGGAACTGACACTTTTTTGCATAAAGCTCTCGCGTGAGGATTTTTCGGAATGCCCCCCAACTGGCCCGAACCCTAGCCTCCCTCATTCGGTCGTTCCTCTCGATCCCTCTCGGTCTCTCCTCCCCCGCCGCCTCCCCTGCACCTCCGTCCCTCCATGCCCTCTCCTCCCTGCGAAGCCTCCACATCGTCGTCGCTCGAGTATGGAAGCCGATTGGCCTTTGTAGCGTGGGGGAGCACATAGGAGCGCGTGAGATCTGGGGGCGCGCAGATCGGGAGGACCTCGCTAGCCCCCAAGGTGTTCATGGTTGGCGGCATAGGAGGAAAGCGTTGGTCGCTCCCTGCACCGGCTTCATGCCGACATGAGCACCGTCGTTGCTCGAGCACGGGAAGTCGTGCAACCTCTGGGGCACGGGTAAGCGCGTGGACTCCTCGCCTATGGTCGCGCGCACCACCCAACTCACCTCCTCCTCCATGAGCACATCCAGAGACGCTGCTGGAGGCGGTCTCTGTCCGGGCGAGGGCCCTGGTGAGCCTGCATACGGCGGCGCGGGTCACCCTTCACCACTCACCAATGGGAGGCATGTTACTCTACGACCATTCTTCTCTCTCACTTCTCTCAGACGCTTCTCACCTTCTTCACTTTTCTCTTTTGGATCCGGCGAGCTCTGGCAAGAGTATAGGCTGGACACCACCCGAGGCTGCAGAGGACCGTCTGAGAGCACAATGACCTGCATAGAGCTCTTTGTCCTCTACCTTGATTCGGGCGCTGCTGTACTGTGCAGACAAACATCAGCTCCAACTCATTTCATGGATGATGCCCTCTATGTGCTCGATGAAATGTACACAAGGTACGCGTGCTTTCTTTTTTGGGTTTTTTATTGGTACCATTATGATTTTTGAATTTTGGAGAAGTACCATTGCTATTCGCCTATTTCGAAGCGTATCATTACAACTCCGCGTCCCTCAGACGAACGCCATGGAATACGCTCGGGGACGACTTGGGCCTAGCTGCAGGCATATACGACGGCATTGTATTTCCATATGGATGCAGATGCCCTTGGGTCAAGTGCACCACGCAGCTCCTCACTCTCTTCCTCCTCTCACTCACACTCAGTGTCCCAAACCCTAACTGTCTGTGTTTTCGGACCACCGATGAGTAAATTTGTATTTGCGCGTCTAGCTCGGATGGTGTGCTCGGAGGACACAAGAGTTTATATTGGTTCGGGCAGAACGTCCCTACGTCTAGTTCGCTGCTGCTCGTGTTACCGGCACTTGATTTGTTGTAGGGGTTACAAACAGGCGAGAGAGTGAGAGGATCCCAAGTCTCTGGTGGAAGGAGTGAACGGGTGCTGAGAGCTCGATTGCCGCTCAGCTGTGTGCTCGTGTCATGCTCTTGTGTTTCTAGCTCGTTATCCTACCCCTGGTAGGGGCGCCCTGTTTTCCCTTTTATAGGCGAAGGAAAAGCGCGGGTTACAGTGGAGGAAGAGAAGAACGAGAGAGAGAAGAATGCTTCCAGGATCGCCGGATCCTTCTTCTCCTTCATGCGGGTCCCGCCGATCCTGTAGATGTCAACAGGGACGGCTCCACGTCGTGGCCCTGTTCGTCACGAATGCCATGCGCAGGCGTCATCTGCCGGTCATGGCGTTCCATTCCATCCTGGCAAACGTCGTGGTGAACTGACGCGCCTGTTAGCGTTCGTACGAGGGTTAGGCAGAACAGCATCGGCACGCCCGACACTGTTCT